GGGGGCGACGGCGTTGCGGATCCATCTCCTCCCGGGCGCAAATCTAATATTCACAACACATGGCATTAATGTTGGATCCATGTATTCACATCAAATTACACAACGGTGCAGAACTCTTTTTTTTTCTTTTTTGTTAAAAAGCTACCTAATTTTATTTTTAACGTAATAATAACAACGAAATAATGCGCTCTCCAGCGGGCACAATGCGTCCTCTTTTAACAACAACACTATAAACGCGGCGAGGAGTAGCGACATAAGTGGGATAAACTGGAACCGATGTTCCCCCATCGCAAGGCGGGTGAAGGGGCAGCGGCTACAGCAGGGCCAGGAGCTGCCCGTCGGGCCCTGGCAGATTAACTACCGCTTTCGCGAAAAAAAAGTACACTTTAAGCTTTTTCAGCTCGGAAAACTTTATTGAAAAGAAACACAAATACAAATGAATGAGGTAAGCGTGACATACAAAAATTAAAAGCAACAGAAATATAAATGCAACACAAGGCAAATTGTTAATGAAGTCAAGAACATTATAGTACCATTAAACGAAAAAAATAAAATAAAACACTTGGCACTTTCCACAAGATAAAACACATGGCAACGAAAACAAGACCCTTTAAGGCTAACCAGAACATAGCATATGCCCGTCCTTGGACGAATTAAACAACCTTCAGTGCAGGCACGCATTTAGCTGTCTCTACAGTAATAAGAAACACGACTTATTATCTGGGCTTTTCGCAACATCCAAAATATGGGGAACGATGAATACAGAATATCTCATGAAATATTATTAACAGTAATTAATATGCAAATCAATAAATACAACATGTTTTGTTCATTTACTCTGAGAATTTAGCACGTGCTGGTTGAATGCAGCACACGTTGCTACCAGCCATTTCCGAATTTCAGAGAGAGCGAGAGAGAGAGGGGGGGAGAAATTTCGAATTTCACCGGAGACCATTCCGCGAACCAGTCGCGCAACAAAGGCCCACGCCACCTGCGCCGAAGGGCGGCGCTTAGGCCTCGCCCTTGCACCGCTTCCAGGGCTGGCCGCCCGCGGCCCACGCCGCCCAGTCGCCCGCGGCCGCTCCCCACGCGTGCTCGGGCAGCGCCCGCCGCCTACCTGGGTCGCTGTTGTCCACGCTCTGCTGCGAGCCGGGCTGCTGCGAGAGCGGGCCCGGAGTACCTCCGGAGCCCGGCGAGCGCACGTCGTCGTTGCCAGGCCCTGGGTACGACAGCGACGACGACGGCGGCCTCTGCAACACAACACACACGCGCACACATTAGCCAACGCTCAATAGAACAATACAATACAATAAAGACTTAATTAAATGTACTCAACAGTTGATATAATGGCCGTTTGATAAATTAAATACATAAATATCATTAAGTTCCAAAGTTTTTTATAGACACTCAAACAATTTATTATAATAGGTATGGTTTTTCTTACATATTGATAGCACTTATAAAGTTATGAAGAGTGGTATCAATACGTACGATTTAATTTTAATATTTTTTGACTGCCTACAAAGAAACTTTGTTTCTTATCATATTTATTAATTTATTTAAATAAATAATTAAATGTAAATATGCCGGAAGACCAGTGTTATGTACTCAAATAACTGTAAATGTCAATATGCCTTCCGGTTAATATTGTTTAGCACTATTATACTACCCTACTTGTCAATATTAGGTTAGTTATTTAATCATATTTTATTTTTATTTAAATTCCAGTTGCCAGCCTATATAGACCTTTATACGAATCGCAAAGACATATTGTAAAACCATGCGAAGGGAACCATTAAGCGGTAAGCACATGAATGATATTAACTTTAAAGATTGAAAATTCACTTCTCCAAATGATGGCTAAACACACAGGTGTTACTTCAATTGCAAAATCATTTTTTGGTTCAGTTGGAATACTGGTTTGTCATTCACCTTACATATAAACAATAAATTCAGTCAAGCTTACTCTGATTTTAAAATGTATTCCATTAAAACACATTCTTCGAAACAAAAAAAAAAAAATAATGCGCAGGCACATTAACACGCGCTTAAAAATAACAAAAGTAAAATAAAATCTTTATTGAAACATGTTAAGTAAATTGCTCTAATGGCTCTTCCGGTAGCATTAGAAGCAGTCACAAACTTGATCTCCAGTGCATTGCACCACATTCCTTACATTAAACAACGAGCCCGTTATTCACATAATGCACTTTAAAAACTACAAAGCCTCCGGTTTCTAGATCCCTTTTCGTGATTACGCTTATTAGAATCACATTAGTTAAAAGAGTTCCTCTACCGTGACTTGCATTTCCACCATTCGAGTATCGTCTTATCTTTTGTTACACACCCTGCTTGCAATAAGAACACGTTCCACATTTCGCAACAGTGAACATATGTCCGGCGAGAGTGTGATGACTTTCACAATGCAAACTCACAGTCTGCAATCTGCAACTAAATTTAATACAAAATAATCACAAGAATTAAATAACCGTCTTCAAATATGGCAAGGAAGAAAATCGTAATGTGTATCGGACGATGACATCGCAATTGTTTGCGTCCAGTTACGCTAGTGTATTCCCGCAGATGTGAAGATTATTAGCTGTAGATTTTCCCACATGTGCCTGAACTTCGCTGCAGCAAAGGTTACTCGACTCACCTCAAATGAATGGCCTCTTATTTCGAACAATGAGCTCTGCGAACTCAAAAGCAACAACCGACCACGCGATAACCCCCTCACAGCACCTCACCGCAAGCACTTTCCATGAATATTATGTAACTAGTATGGAACACTTGAGAGCTGACCGAAGGAGGACCTTGAAAGGATATCGCGACAATGCTAGGTTATTTTCCAGCACTTCCCCCTAACAAGGTACGAAAACCGTATGTAAATGATGGCAGATCTAATCGGCCACTCACAACTTTATAGCAATAAAACGTTAAGCGCACAACGTAAAGCGTACCAACATCGCAGAGACCGGCGCTTAAAAATTCATTTAAAACTTAAACGTCACAATGTTTCCAGAGTCCGCCCGGAACCCCCATGGCCGTCCTCGCATACAACACTTCTCCGGATCCTGGAGCTCTGCCATGCATGAACTACGTGGAACGAATCCGAGAAATACAACTTACGAATGCACAACGGTCACGTAAACATACAACGGAGTTCAGAGTGAGGAGTCTAGACAGACTACGTTCATGACTACATCGTCCACATCCTGTAAGAGCACGCGCATTTCGGAAAAGAAAAAAAATTATTGTTCGCCTTGGCAGGCGTTTGAGAAAGACGCAAGACGCTTCGTTAAAAATGGGAAGTTGGTCTGCAGCCAGAGAACTTCTTCGTAAGTAAAACCACGCCGAAATAAAAACTCTATGGTCGGCCAATAATTTATGTTTCACGGAATCGTGCGTCACAGACTTCGAACAGCACACAGCCTCCCTCGCCCTAAAAAAAATCTACCAATGAACACAAACCTCTTCCTTGTGTGACTCGGAAGAATACCTGCCAGGGAAGTATTCTTTCCAACCCGATTACAGAAATATTTAAATGTACACTTAATAATTGCAGAACTTCGATTAATTTTATTATCTGGCTTACAGAATTATCAAGTTGGCTTTAGCAATACGTCCTTACAATTCGCGTAAGTCTTTTACGGGAAGCACGTTATGAACATTATAAATATTGAGGTAACAAAACAACTGGAAAACTAAGAACCCAAAATATGCACATCTTTCGTGGAGAAAACGGCATTTTAGATATAAAAAACATTAACCTGATACAAACCCCGAGGTCATTGCAACGAAAAGTATACACGGTGAATCATCTACCGACATGCGAATAACACCAACCTAAAAAGGTTACCTCACACTCCTCGGCGGGTGAGGCTGGTGAAGCGAGTGCGGCTAGTGAGTTGGATGAGGCAAATAAGGTGGGTGAGACTGGTGAATCCAGTGAGACTTGTGCGTAGGTTAAATCGGGTTAGACCGATGAGACTGGTGAAATGGGTGAGGTGGAAGCGGCTAGAAGTGGAAAAGTGGATGAGGCTCGGAAAGAAGGTAAACCAGGTGAAACAGGAGACGCTGGCGAAGCTTGTAAGCCGAGAAACGTGGGTGAGGATGGTGAAGCTGGTAAGTCTGTTGAGATGGGTAAGGGTGGTTCCCCACGGGTGACGCTACTCAGGCTGGTGAGGCTAGTGAAGCGGGCGATATTCGTGAGACGAGCGAGGCTGGTGAAGCTGGTTAGGACGGTGACGCTGAGCCTGGTAAGTCTGGTGAAGTGCGTGTGGGGGACGACACTGGCAGGGCTCGTGAAGCGGGTGAGGCTCGTGAAGCGAGAATGGTGAAGTGGGTGAGGCAGGTGAAGCGGATGAGTGTGAGGCGGTGGCGCCGCTCCGCCCACTCGCGCACGCATAAATCACGCGCCGATCGCTGCTTGCTCTGCTCGATCGCCGTCGGCGGCGTGGCGTGGCGTGGCGTGGAGCGGCGTGGCGCGGCGCGCGGGCCTTCCGACCGCTACGCGGCCGGCAGAATCGCGCCACGTCATGGCATCTCGACGCACTCTTTAAAAACCATAAATCACCCGCGCCGGCCACTCATTCAACGCCGCAGCGCCAGATAAGAACAAAACTAGCTTAAAATCGCATTTCCCGGGCAATTAACGAATCAAAAGGACTCCCCTCCCCCCTACCCTTCCTGCGCGAACGCCTTGCACACTGTACTTCTTTCTCCGCGCCATGATTCATATTTAAAAAGGAACTTAGCGCCAGTCACCTCGCTTTAATATGAATGTGGGAGCTGTGCGTGGATGTTGGTATAGTAATTTGTACGCCACAACGGGTAATTTCACATTAATTATGTGGTATGCGTGCGCGAGCTTAATCACTCACTGCATGTCGAGCCGCACCGCCCGCCAACAATTTCGACGACAGTCGCCTCTCGTGATAGCTTCGTCCTCGTCTCTGGTTGCGGCAGGATACATTCTAAAATTTATAGATTTTCATAGTTCCGCTATAGGGGAATACATTCGTTTTTCCCGCTGAAACCGTTTCAAGCGTTTTTCAAATTCTGCTTCTAGAATAACTAGATGTCTGAAAGAACGCAGGATCAACACATTCCAAAAACATTTCCGGTAATTTTTTCTGTAAAACATTTCGAATCGTTTAACTTCCAAGACCACACACTTGAGTAACAAACGAGAGAAATGGAGAGAGAAAAATCATCCCCCGGTGATCAACTCTTTTCGCCATGCAACGGAACGTTTTAGAACGAGTTTCTGAATCCTCGTTGTTACGCTTAAGTCGTTCGTGAAAGCTTCCAGTGACAGCGCGCATAATGAAGTGCTATCTCGGGGGCCATCTTTGCAGCTTCGGACAACAAGAGGGGAGGGTTGTGGGAGTGGGGGAGGGGAGGGGGGTGAGAAGCGAGATCTCGCGGCGAATCGAAGCAGCGACGCGACAGCGGGGGCGGCACGGCACCCATGTCCCCCGCATCCTCGAGCCCTCCCTCACCTCCGCGACGCCTG